TCGTACTATATGTAGCTCCGTAGAACCAGAACCTTCAGATTTCTTGGACTTCTCCCATTTGGCTTGCAGTTCCTTTTTCTTCTTACTCTTTGATCTTTGCCATGGGGAACTTGTGCTGAAGCTCTGGCTTAAGGGCGGAGCCAAATGTCGGAAGGCACAAAAAAGGCATCGGCCCTGAGGTGCCCGCCACACTCGCATGTTCGAGATATGAAAACAGTATAGCCCAAAGGCAGTATTCGAGCTAGCCGGAAGGTATTAGTCCGGATGGAGCGTGTTGTTGCAGGCCAGAACAGTAGAAATCAAAGACATCTGTCAGCCTATACTGGGGTTTGATTCAACGTTCGAAGCTCGAAGCATCCAAGACAAAAAAAAATCCGCGGAATGGAAAATCAGGTGCTCCGGCCCGCAGCAGCCTTTGGCTCCCGCCAACTCAAAGCTCAACTCGGGGGTTAGTGGGGCACAATGAGACAGCGCCCAAAACACCCAGACCCAAGCTATTATCACCCCGAGACCGCCCCGAGAGGGAGCGTGACGTCTCTCCTCGCCCACTGTCAACACTCTGTCGTCCTCCCAACCCACCCCTCCAGAAAATAATCGTTTTTTTGTTTTCGTGCTTGTACGGAGTACTCATCATCAATTTTTGCGACCCCAGATCTTTGTGAAAATCAGGTTTTCCCGTTGTCTGGAGCCAATTTCACCGGCCCAACGATCTCCATGCTCCGTGCTTAACCCTAGGCAAAATGGATTCCTCGTTGATAGAGATTCAGCGCAAAGGCAAGCAGCTATAATCTTATCTGGATACCTTTTTGGAGGTGGTATATAACTTGTTTTCTTCCTTTTAGTTATTCTGGACACCATCCGCTATGCTGGTGGCAAAGACGTGAGATCCCCCGCTTACCTCGCTACGAGAGATTCATTGACCCGGTTTTTTTTGTCTGTAGTGGAAAGTTCTTGTGGTAGATGAAGGGAGCAAGAAGCTCATCGATAATGCGGTCAAGGAAGATGATATTTTGAACCAGAATGTTACGAGTAAGGCAATCCGGTCTAGCTGTTTCTAGGGCTTGCGCTGAGAGGTAAAAGACATCGAACAGATCGAACATCGTCGGCCGATGAATAAGGATATCGATGCAGTTTATATACTGTCACCGTTGCCTCATATTGTGGACTGTGTCATGGCAGATTTCGAGCGCCGGCGCTATAGGAAATCTTTTTTGGTTTGGATATCAAGTCAGCCTACCGCTATTCGGCGATTACAGATTGATGTCCTAACAGGGGAACAGATCTCGACCCTCAGCTACGGAGCAGGATAGAAAGATCAAATGTTGCGTGTGATCAAATTGCGGATTTCCGTGTGGTGAATATCAATTTCTTCCCGAGAGAAGCCCATGTTGCTATATTCAGGGACCCCTGGAGCTTTCCGGTGCTTTTCCACCCCTCCTGTAACAACTTGATAAGAGGTCATCTCAATGACTTGGCGCAAAAGGTTAGCTGCAGCTTCAGGGAGACTATCCAGGCATATCGCTAATATTTTGAGCCTTCTAGATTGTATCGATATGCGTGTCACTCGGCGAGTACCCGATAATCCGATATTACCGTCCGAAGAATCCAACACACGAAGCGAGTGTTCTTTGCTCTCACCTAGCTCGATTTGTTCAAGATGAACTAGATGAGTATGCCAAACAATGTCAAGATTACCCGCCACCCTCACAGCGACCGAGAGGAATACTTTATATTTTGGATCGGACCATGGATATTTACTCTCCTTTAGTTCATGAATTTACTTATCAAGCCATGGCTCATGATCTCTTACCTATAAAAGAGGGGGATAAGATAACCTACAAGACTACATTAAACGAAGGCCATCCAAACCAGGAGGTCAAGGAAATGGATATAAGTGAGAATGATAGAATATGGGTTGACAGCCGACATTTACACATGAAGGATTTACTTGGGAAGCTGGTTGAAGATTTCAATAAGTTTCGAGCAGACAACCCCCAATTCAGCGACAGGTAAGCTCGCAACCTCTAACTTCTTATATTTGCTGAAGTTCTCTTGCTCACATGAACATAAACTCGAAGGGGCGCCACTGCAAACGTGAATACTATTAAGGACATGCTTGCTGGGTTGACAGAATTCCAAGAAGGGAAAAACTCCTACACTCTACATCTTAATATGGCCCAAGAATGCATGAGATTGTTTCAGGAGCTGAAATTGGTAGAGGTTGCTTCGGTCGAGCAGGTACGTAACTTCATCCCATTCATATCTGAAATGTTTAATATTATGGTTATGGTTCTCAAGCTAACTGGTGGCAGTCGCTCTCCACCGGCCTGGACGAAAACTACCGAAAACCAAAGAATCTGGCAGATCAACTAGTTCGCCAATTAGATGAAGACTGTATTGGGCCGCCTGAACGTCTGAGGCTAATTCTCCTCTACCTCCTCTACAGAGATGGGCTTCTTGCTGGAGATATCAAAAAGCTCCTTGCTCACTCCCAGCTTCCCCCTCAAGACGGTGAAGTCATATACAACCTCGATCTATTGGGCGCAAGAGTGGAAAAGCCTCTCAAAGACTCGAAGTCGAAACGCGAACCTTTGTTTCCACGGAAGCCACCCCCTCAAGTATCAGAAGATGACACAAGCCTTTCCCGATTCGAGCCTAACCTAAAACTGTTGCTAGAAGAACAGAACAAAGGCACGCTGGATCCCTCAATATTCCCATATACTCGACCCCATCTCGACCCAGACGGTACCCTAGGCCAAGAGAATGTCTCACAGGCATCTCTTCGAAGCGCAAAACCAACCTGGGCCCGAACCCGTCCATCTGCAGCAGAGCCCCGCCAGAGAGTCATCCTTTTCATGGCCGGCGGAGCGACTTTCTCTGAGGCCCGTTCGTGCTATGAAATATCCAAAACCTCGTCCAAAGACATATACCTAGCCACGTCACATATGCTCACCCCGAAACTCTTCCTACGTCAACTTGGGGACCTCAGCGTCGACAAGCGGCGGTTGGATCTCCCTGCTGACCGCCCTCAACCGAAGGCTCCTGCACATCTTTTCGAGAAGCCACCCCCCCCGCAAACATTGGTACCTCCAGCTCCTCCTACAGCAGGTTTGGCGTCGATGACTATTAGCTCCCGTGATGCTGCGCGGAAATCACCCAATGGCTCTGTTGTTCAGCCGAGTCACCACCATCACCCTACCCCATCGCCGTTAGCGCATGGCGGTAAATTAATTAAAAAGGAGAAGGAGAAAGACAAGGAGAAAGATAAGGAGAAGAAGAAACGCAATTTCTTCAAATGATTCGATTCGATGATGATATTTTTTGGTTCTTTTCCGTCGTCCGTCTCCTATACCTTCATATGTCCCAGGTGTTCCCACTTTGATACCTCCACTACTTGTTGGTCTGGCAAGTATCGACCAATTTTATCCATTCGTATCTCCCCCATGAGTTTTCATTCAGCGTACAACTTGCATGACAGATCATGTGGCGTTTAGTTGTGTCTTTTTGTTTTTTGTTTTTTTTTTTTTTGTTTTTTTTCAATTTCCGTTTCCATGTAGCATGTATAGATATAAAATACTTTGGAAACTGATGACCTTGACCATTTTGCGTGTAACATTACCCTTGTGGTGTCTATCTAGATGATCCTGGTTCCGTCACATACCTCCTTCAACGCCATACAGATGCAAATTAAATAACCCAAGAAACCTAAAGTAAATGGTGTATCAATGTAATATAGCAAGCTGCAACTATCCACAAAAACGCCTGGCAACTAAACTACGTCAAACCACCCCCCACCTTATCCACCGCAATCAACAACCGAATCAATGCCCCAAATACCTCTGAACATCCTCCCGCGCATAAAACATCTCCCGCAACCTCTCCCCCTTCTTCTTCCCGTCCTCCTCTAACTTCCTCACCTGCTTCGCATTCAACTTCTCCACCTTCTTCCCATTTCCCTTCGCCGCCTTCTCCTCACCAGCTTTGCGAGGTTTAACCCCCAAGCCGAGCGTATCATGTTTTACCCTGGGCTTCAGCGGCGCAGAGATACCTTGGCCCTGTGGCCCTAGGCCAAGTCGCGAATCAGGATCCCAACCCCGCGCGGAGAGATATTTGAAGCCGGGACGGGTGCGATCGATGGCGGAAGGGGGATGCGAGTGCGGGAGGCAAACTTGGTGGGCTAGGGTGGTTTCGTGGGGTTTGGAGGAGTGTCTGGTATCTGTATCGTGACTGGATGGGGAGGGGGAGAGGGGTAGCTGGCAAATTTCGCAGGTTACTGACGGGGTGGTTGCTGCGGAGGTAGATGAAGGTGAGGGGGTAGACGTTGTTGGGTGTGTTTCCGGCCCGTTGGTTTCAGGTGCCGGGGGAAAGACGATGGATAAGTATCTGTCACCGATTGAGGAGGTATTTGGTTGTTGTTGTTGTTGTTGTTGTTGTTGTTGCAGCAGCGTATTAGAGGCGCTGGATATGTCTTTTGATGAAGAGGGCGTGTTGCTGGCGGCAGTAATATCGCTGGAGGGAATGAAAGGGACTCGTTTTCTCTTTATGCCTGCTCCGAAGACTTGTTGGTCCTGGAGCGGGAGAAAGTACTCATGCTCATCGTCGTATGCCATAGCTGTTTAGACCTCTGACACTGTATCATGCTTCCTTGCAACCTATCCCCCTGCCCCTGTCCGCAGAAGCAGAGCGGAATGTTGTTGGTTGGGACTGGGGGCGTTGATGTAGAATGTTGATGTTGATATACACCAACGAAAAGTGGCGTCGGCAGGTTGGCGAGACTGAATATTTATTTTAGTTGATTTAAACTACGCGCTGACCTTCACCAGTCTGTCTATGACCTGCAGGTCGTCTGTCGCCCCCTTCTCGGCCCAAAACCGACGACGTCGACGTTTAGAAACATCAGAAAAATAAATAAATAAACATAAAACAAACATACAAATTGCATGGCGATCTGCGACCCTCACTTGGAGCTGCGAAAGTAGTCGGAGACCTATTTTCCCACAATGCCAGTCCCTCTCCTGGCTCACGGAGTGGTGGACGGTATCTCGACTATCCCGTATGCGGTCCCGATATTGAAGACTTCCCCATGGATTGTCCTCGTCGCCCTGTTGAAACGCTACTTTGGAGGCGCGAGAAATACTTCAGACCGCCGGATGTACTCGAAAGTGGTCATGATAACTGTATGTCCGATCCATTTACTCTTGAAACCAACCGCATTACATACCGTCTAACGCTTCCAATGTAGGGTGGAACATCAGGAATTGGAGCTTCTATTGCGCAGAGGCTAGCTTCCCAGGGCGCCCAAATCATCCTCCTCACACAGCACGCACCATCTGACCCTTTCCTCATCGACTACGTCGAAGATCTCCGGAATTCTACCGGAAACCAGCTTGTCTATGCCGAACAAGTTGACCTCTCATCCTTATATTCCGTTCGAACCTTCGCTACAAAATGGGTTGACAATGCCCCGCCCCGGCGACTGGACATGATCATTCTCTGCGCCAACATCATGAAGCCATCTCGCGCGAAACCACGCACGACCATAGACTCCTTAGATGAGGAGTGGCAGGTCAACTACCTTGCCAACTACCACTTGCTCAGCATCCTAAGTCCCGCACTACGTGCCCAACCGGCGGATCGAGATGTCAGAGTTATCTTCGGCACCTGCTCGAGTTACATCGGTGCGACATTGGACTTCAAGCATCTGGAAGACAGCACGATGCGCCCCGCTGCAGCCAAACCTTTTTCTTCATCCAAGCCGGCAACAAATAGGAGTTCAAACTCAACGACAAAACCCTCCAAGTCTCCGAACAAAAACACTGCTCACAGCACTCAAGCTGCGCAGAGCAGCATGTACGCAACGTCCAAACTTGCTCTGATGATCTTTGCCAAATCCTTTCAATCCCACCTCTCCGCCTACCAGCGACCCGACAAGCAACCCTGCAACACCCGCGTTCTCGTCGTCGACCCAGGCTTTTCACGCACCCCGGGAACACGGCGCTGGCTAACCGCCGGCTCACTGTTCGGCCTCATCATCTACCTAATCACATGGCCCATATGGTGGCTTGTCCTGAAATCCCCCCAGCAAGGAGCGCAGAGCTTCCTGACGGCGGCGATGGAGGCGGTATACGGAGCACCCGCAGCGAACATTGGCGGAGTCAGAGTTGGCGCCGGCATCGCGGGCGGGATGCTGATTAAGGAGTGCAGGGAGCGGGATGTGCTGCGCAAGGAAATCGTGGATGAGCACGTCGGGAAACAGCTGTGGGAGTTTAGTTCATGGCAGATCGAGCTGAGGGAGAAAGAAGGCGCGGTGAGGCGTGCGCTCGAGAAGAAGAAGCGGGAGGTGGAACGGAAGAAAGAGGGCGCCGCTGGTTCTACTGCTGCTGCTGCTACTGCTATTACTTCTACTACTTCTGCTACTTCTGCTGCTGCTGCTGGAGTCAATGGTGGCGATGACGGTGATACTGACTCAAGTCAGAGGCAAGGGAGTGGGCAGCAGAAGCCCGGGTCAAGGCCGAGCAGAATGGCGAAAACAGATACATAGTGGGGGGGGGGGGGGCGTTGGTTCACTTTGGGGATGTTATGGGGCAGTCCAATGGCAACGGAGTTTTGATATAACGGACATACAGGGCCTTGGTATTTTTTTTTTTTTTTTTTTTTTTTTTTTGGGGGGGGGGGGGGGGGGGAGGGATTAGGGTGCTATTTACACCACATTGCATTCCCATTTTATACCGATTTTTCTTTGTGTAGAATTACGATTTTGTTTTTTGATATGCGGGTATCTAGATAGTCCCCTTTCATCAATCCATGGTTGGAAAGATGCCCATCCGTCACATTAATTATGTCTTACTTTTCTAGAGCTGAGTCGTAGAATGTACTGACAAGATGAAGAGGACATATTTTGTGGAAATCTTCACACATCCATCAGCCTTCCATTTCATTCATTACCACCTCTTGTCCCTTGACCAACCTATATCCATCTAAACCTCCCAAAACGCAAATGTATCAAAATCCACGACACCCCATGTCCCGCATGGTATTCTGCCTTCTCCACCTACACAGAACAAATGAACCAAACGCAGGCTTCTATAACACGGATGAAAAAGAAAGAAAAAATATAAATAAAAATCTATTTATTCCCGCTCTTCAACTTCTCCAACAACTCCTGCGGTGGCTGCTGCCTATAGCCCTGTGGATTATTCTTCGTCCACTGCCACAGATGTTCACAGGCCTCCTCCAGCGTCCTGGTTGTCTTCCAGCCAAGCTCATGGTTCGCCCGGCTTGGATTGCTAGTGAGATCGAGCACGTCACCCGCACGGCGACCGACGACTTCGTACGGAAGATCACGGCCCACGGCGGCACGGAAGGCTTTGATCATGTGAAAGACAGTGCTGCCTTTGCCGGTGCCGAGGTTCCAGGCGCGCACGCCTGGGTGGTTGGCGCGCAGATAGTTGAGTGCCTGGAGGTGGCCGGCGGCTAGGTCGAGGATGTGGATGTAATCGCGGATTGCGGTGCCGTCGTGGGAGGCGTAGTCTATAGGTATATTAAATGTGTGTTAGTTGGGTTGATTGCGTTGCGGGGTGTTTAGTGTTGCCAGTGGTGAGGAGAGAAGACTGACCGTCTCCGTAAACGAGGAGTTTCTCTCTCTTCCCTGTAGCTACCTGCGCAAGGAGGGGGAGCAGGTTATACGGGACACCCTGCGGATCCTCCCCCATAATTCCGCTTGGATGCGCTCCCGATGGATTAAAGTATCTCAACAAGGCGCCATTCCACTTCTCTGCTTCCTCTGGTTTGCCAGCCTTGATGGCGTTGTTTCTCTCTGCATTGATCATGTCCGTGATTGCAGTTTCCACAGCGACCTTGGTGTTTCCATACGGGTTTGTTGGGCCCAGAGGGCACTCTTCCGGAATGGGTATCATGTTTGGGAATCGGGTAGCGTCCCCGTAGACGGTGGCGGAACTGGAAAAAACGATGTTGGTGACATTATGTCGCTTCATGGATCGGAGGAGGCATATCGATCCGCAAACGTTGACATGATAGTAGTCGAGCGGTTTCTCGCCAGATTCGCCAACGGCCTATTCAGAAACAGAAACATTAGCTCCGTAACTTCATTTGTAATGAAATGGGTTGGTGGGGGAAATTAATTAAACAAGACTATTGATGTATATTCCTGATATCCTGTTTACATACTTTGAGTGCGGCAAAGTGGATGACGCTGTCGATATCGGGATGTTGCTCGAAGATCCTATCAAAATCGGCCTCTTTTGTGACATCCGCCTTAGCAAATTCCGGACGTTTGCCACAGATCAATTCGATGCGATTAATGACCTCCTCTGACGAGTTATAAAGATTGTCTACGATAACGACTTTGTAGCCAGCTTCGAGAAGAGCCAAAGCGGTGAAGGAGCCAATGTAACCGGTTCCACTGCATTTTATCACGTTGTACAGGTCAGCAATTGAAACAGAAAAGGGAGGAAATTATCGAATGAGAGAAAAGACAGGATTTTCACCCGGTAACGAGGACACTGCCCACAGTCATGGTTTGGAAGCTGTCCTAGGTTGCGATTATGCAATTGCGGTGTCCCGAACCGAAGAATGTTGAGTTGATGACAGCAGCAGAAACAGCGAGAAAAAGATGAGGATGAGATATGGGATATTAGTATTTAAGCAATAATAAATGTTCTATTTCATGGTATGTATCCTTTTCGTTAATAAGAACTGGAGTATGTAGAAATCTAAAATTGTAAGCTAATAAATAGGAGAGATTAAATACTTTAAATAGTTAACCACCTTAACCAACGGGTTGTTAATTCTACGCATTTTAATACCCCGTCGCCGATGCTGGAGCTTCAACGGGGCGGGTTCAGCCTAAGCCCACTGAGATATTATGTTGGTCTCAATCAAACCGATCCAAATCTTTGTTTTGGCTCCTCAAAGACAATCCGTGGATACCTTGAGGACTGCCCTGGAGGAACAGTGGCTCTCAGGATATGCACTGTAGTTACGACCTCAATCCTGGTTTCGATTGCTTGGAATCTCTAGCCTGAAATTTCCAACTACGTATTCCCGTGCTGCTGTGAAACTTGGCATTGTAGCAAACTGCTTGGAGAAGTCTCCTTGTGATATACGAGAGATAAGAGCCGCAGGCGGATGCAACCACGGGTGCTGCGCCGTTGACCGCAAATGTCGGATACCTAGCCCAGTGTATTGCAATTGCCACCCACAAGTCTCGTCATTTGTAAGACGATGAGAGGTGCTGGCGGGGGCTCACCCAGTGGAAGACCCATTGGGATCCATCCTCCAGCTTCAAGGACCGAAATGAACCCAGCCGATATACATGGAGGAGAAGTTGACGGTGGAGGTTCGCGTTTTTTTCCCTGCCAACTTCCAGTGACTACGCATGAAGTTCTGCGCCAGAACTTAAAGGGCTGGTGGTCACGTGGTTGGGTTTTTTAACCGCATTAAAAGGGAAACGAACGACTCCTTTTCAGATTGAAGAGATGTCATGTTGTTATGTAGCACGCTAATTCCATAATAGTCAAGTTGTGAGTGGATAAGTGTGATACGTACGGCTAACTGTGCTTTCTTTGCTAAAGTTTCATTCCATCTTCTCTGGTTTGTTCTTTTCTCAGCCTCTTGATTTCCGCTTTTTGATATGCTCAGAGCGACGGATGGTGGGAAACCGCAGAGTTGGAGGAAATACGATACGCGGGCTCTCTCGCTGTCGTGAGATTCGACAATACAATGTCTGGGGAAATGGTGTTTGTATTTCAAGAATTAGCTCTTGAAAATAAAGACCTTGTTGCGCTCAGCAATCATCATTCCCATCCAGCTCTTGTCATTAATCATCCGGCTGGTGATTCTACCCGGCCATATCTATCGCAACGCAAGTGCTTGGTGGTAGATCATCTCTGTTTGCCGCGGCACACGCGCGGCACACTAAGCAATCAAACGGTCAAACAATACCCGCGCGTCAATTTCCTCATACATAGTTTCTAAGCTTCTGCACAGAGAGCCTAATAAGTCCACCAATATAAAATAAGATTTATCATCAGACAGTAACTAATTTCGTTTCCATGTGCTTTTACTAAAAATTAGTTTCCTGATACCTGGCGAATGCCTCTGCTGAAATAAAAAGTGTATTGCTTGGTGTTTTACTCGCATCCTACGTAGTTACGCTTACCCACTCGCTTCATTCCTGCATTTCCCAATCTATTCAATACTCATAACTGACCAGATAACTGGGAGGTGTAATCACTCCTCATTAATCACCACGTAGTTAACAAGCACCTATATAAAGATAATGGTAACCTATGAGATTGGTTGTCTGTCCATCAACCCTTTCATTCATTCTCTTTCGTAAAGGATAGGGTGTACATGGTCAAGCGCATCATTCAACAGAACACCTAGCAAAATAAATTCTAGTCCTTCTTACTTTTTCACACAGTCACATCGCGTGGTATTTGTATTTTAACATCGTCAGAAAAATGGAAATGGTAAGTGGGAACAAACGTCAAAAGAAAATGGGACGTGAACAATATTTTAGAACTGAAAGGAGAGGAAGAAAATGACTGAGTACGGACTAAACATGTAAAGTGTCAGAAACGAGAGCTTCTTTTTTGAGAAGGAGAACACATGGGATCAATGACAGCTCCAAGGTATTAAATAAAGGTAATAAAAAAATGGAGAAATAAAGAGCAACCAACGAGGAAAGCATAAAATAGAATGTGCTGGTATCTCTTCATATCAATGTTGTTGGACAATATCAATCCACAAAGCTAGAACAAAATTTTATGGCGCAAGTTGAAATCGATCAGAGGTTATTGGTTTCGTCCATCTATCCTGTACGTGAAGAAGGAGAAAACGTCCAATTCCTAGGATAAGGACTAGAAAAGATCGTAGCCATATGTATTCATGTTGAAGTAGATTGCTCAATCTCCGTCATGCGCTCGCATGATTCCTTATACCCCATTTCTTTCCATTTCTTTCCATTTGTTGTTTGGACGCCGAGTCACGGCAGGATCCGTCAGGGACCGCTTAAAAAACACATCAACGGATGCGTGGTTGTGAACTTGAATCTTCGGGACTGCTAAGCATCGCTGTAGCAGTACGAGGAAACAATTTCCGATCGTGAGTATCCGCAGCTGTTATTATCTTATCCCAAGAGTTCGACGTCAAGTCCGATAGCTCGCATGAACAGGTTGACGTTGCCCAGACGTTGACTAGCCATGTCCGCTGGCAGGGTTTTGCTCTGAGCAACGGTTTCCATAACTCGATCCCTGATGGTGAAACGAAGTAAGTAAATGATGCGAGGCCATAGTTAGTCGAAGAAATTAAAAAAGGTACTCACTTTACAGCAATCACCAACCGTTGCTGCTGTTCTGGGCTAGCGCCAATCCCTACAGCAGCGAGGAACTGCCATATGTACATATCATCGCCACTATTAATCGATCCGGGGAAAATATCACCAAATACGGGCTCGAGTCGATCAAACAAGTTGTTGTACAGCTCTGTCCATGGTTTCCATTCCCCATTGTCCACGGCGCCAGATACCTTAACCAATTCCGCGCGGCTGAGCAACATGGTCAAAACTCCAAGGCCGACTTTAGTCTTTGCCACTGTTTGGACATGGGTCTGCCCAATTACGACACCTAGCAGACCGGTGATGATATTAATCGGCGCTTCGTTAACATACCCAAGGAGACTGGGCATGACAGCGTGTGAAAACAGGTCAATTTCTTCTCGGACCGCCAAGGGTGGCTGAGTTTCTCCAGGGCGAAGTTGTGCTCGATGCACAACATCCAAAGAATCAAGATGAACAACGATCATGGTGAGGATGGTGACACGTTGTTCCTGATCGATATGGCGGAAAATACGGGGAATGGCCTTTTTGCCCTTGGGATAGGACAAGAACGCGATAAAGGGATGCGGGGTAGACGATCCAGGAACTATTGGCTCTAGAACCTTCATGTCTGACCAGAGCTTCTTGTTGAGGGCACGCATTTTTTGTCTCCATTCCATATGCCTCTCGACAGAGGTAGGGTCATTTTCATTTGGAGATAGGGGCATGTTCCGTTCGTAATCTTCCATCTGCATCAGGGTGCTATATACGCTTTCGATATTGTTCAATATAGACTTGCGGTCACTGGCACTCAGTGCCGTATGTCCCCCTCTTTTGTGATTGGAGACTTTCTGGCCGTCAGAGCTGTCAGGGCGCGTGATGTTCAACAGCGGCTTAGGTGTTTTGGCATTGCTAAACGATATTTTACCAAGGCTCCCTTCGATTATCAGTTGCTTGTTCTTTGGTCTCAGTTTTGCTGCTTCCACCGCCCGCTGCACCTGCTGTTGCATCCGCTGCATATGATTGTCTCCAGTATAAAATTGACGTCTGCCCAGTCCCCCTGCAGATCGTCCTCCGGTTTGAAATAGGTATGTTTGTGCAAAGTGACCCAACGGTTGACGAGGATGTTGCCTTGGAGCCCCACGGATCTGGCTGTAGACTTGGTAATAAAAGTCTTCTGCCAGTGATGCCTCGCCATCAGGCTCTGTCACGTTTCCTGTTGCGGCAACTAGCTGCTGTAATTGTATACGGGTAATGAAATTTTTATCTTGTGGAGTCATTAAACCGTTCCCTTTGGAAAGAAGGAATATCTTGTGATTCCGCTTGGCTCGTTTTGCATCCTCGATTAAATATGCCTGCTTCTGCTCTTCGGTCATATGGATATTAGGAGGCATTCCGGACGCCGGGGCTAATGAGGCAGGAGGACCCATAAGGGGTTGTGGTTTTGGGTGGTGAGCCTGGACTTGTCGCATTGAACGATGTAGAGGTGCATTAATGGGTGGTCGACTTGGTTGATGCATGGCTGGAAGGGGCATTCCAGGATGTGGGCCCATGTTCACCATAGGAGGGACAGTTTGCTGGCGTTGGAATGCCTGAGTCACAAGGGCATCCTGCCCTAGCTGAGCATATTGCTGCTGTTGGTCAAGTGGAGGAAACTCCTGAAGAGATATGGGAGGCACACTATCAGGAGGAGCATTTGGTCTTTCGTGGGGAGGCATGGACGGCATCGTAGACATGCTGAGAGGAACTGTCACCTGTGGAATGGCGCCTGGGAATCGAGGAGCGGTCGAATGTGGTGGAGGGGCAGAGGCCTGCTCAGTTGCTTGTGGTTTCTTGCTTTGTGCTCGCATTTGCGCCTCGACTTCCTCCAAACTCATTATCTTCTTCGCAGGTGCCGCAGCCTTGACAGTCTGGGCACCATCGTATGCCTTAGCCTTTTGCCCCACATTTGTCCCCCAAACAGCAGACTTTGCCTGGATCTCCGGAATATAACCTGGGTCCTGGTAGAGTTCGTAACCGGTCCTCTTCGGCTTGGCCGGAGCTGGTGCTTGAGATTTCGACTTCGACTCAGTGGGGGGATGTTTCAACTTATACAGCATCTGCTCTTCGTCGAGGACATTTGTCATTTGGGCGGTGTTCCCGTAGAAATCAAAATCTTTCCCCACAGGCTTGTCCTGGTCATCTCCTCCACCAAATGTGTCATCGTTAAAAGCATCTTGGTCCTCGTCCAACTGGTCACCCAGGCCATCGTACGTGTCTTCGAAATCAATTCTTCACGCAAAAATAAGTTAAACCACGCTATCCAAAGCTAAAGAAAAAGAGATGGGGGAGATGTACGCATCGTCATCTTCCTGCGCGGTGGCGCTGGCAACCTGCGCAAACGGATCAGGATTCTCGAAAATACCGCGCGCCTGCGGACCAGAACGGCGATCTCTTGGCAGAGTCGTATCAAAGCCAAAGAAAGACATGCTGTCTTAAAATCAAAGCCGGGTCACCAAGAGCAGTGAGTTGCTCTCTTGTTGTCGGCTTGGATGATTTCTATAAGGTTGGTTGTGTTTGATTTGCGAAGGTCCATTTCGACTTTCGGCAACAAAGTGCTAACCACCTGGTCCGTGCGTCGACCGCCTTCCGCCTTCACTTGAGCCTCACCAACTTCGCTCTTCTTTTCCTACATCCATCCCATTACTACCTGGGCATGTATGTGGGCGTGCAATAACGAGCCATGAAAGATAACTGGGAACTATTTGCTCCTTCTGGAGCCGCGTGAGAGTTGCCTAGCTTAACAATCAGGCAAACTTACTGAAACCGTCCCTCCACCGCAGACTGCCGCAGACTACGGAATTAGGATATCTCTGTCTTCTTCATTCTCCACAGATACGTTGTCAAGAACCAGAAGTAGATGACCTACAAACTCCGAAATCGCATTCTGGTGCTCCATCTCCTTGCGCCCAAATGTCTTTACCTACACCAGGTGTCCATATTCAGATTCCTCCAGCATTTTACAGCTTCATTTGGCAGCTATTTAAAGCACGTTCATTTTTGCATTTCTACGCATATGCTCCAGCTTCCATAATTTGGAACGCGTATCTCTTGTTATAAATATATATACTTCTCTGAACTTGGTGAAATTTATTGAGAGCATCACAAGAAGCCAGACTGTCTGGAAACAGCGAATCAGCCTGTTTCTGACAATATAATATGCCAGACATCACGAGCACAGTCACTTCTTCTGAACTCAAAGCAGCATTCAGTACACGCAAAGATAACCTCTGATGTGTTTCTGACCATGGCACCAACGATGCAGCCCTCACGTTCCTCTGGTAATTCACGTGGGCTGCAGGTAAAGCCGACGTGACTTTGAGTATTGTAAATGTAAGTCACTGCTGCTTCTTGGTCTTGCCATTCCAATTCCCAGCTGTACCGATCGTGATTGACGAAGATACTCTGCTCCTATATGACGTACACTTTAGCCTCGTGTTTGAGATTATGGATCAATGCGTTGATCGTCCCTTTCCCGAGGAAAGTATAGCCGTATTGGTCAGCGTCATTTAAAGGAAATGTCCCGGACCCAAATAATTCAAAGGTCTGCAACCATTTTCTCGGTCTTTGTTCAACTAGGCCTCAAGTGGTTTGGTGACGGTCACTTTAGAACTTGGATGGCTGTCATCCTGGCTCATTCTTTAGTGAAGAGCAACATTGGGACACAAAAACATTTCCAGTACTCAAGTCAACAAGACACCTTTGTGTGCAGTACTGACGGCCCTACTGCGATTCCAGCTGTCGTTTTGCCGGAGGCGGCCGTGGCGGAGATATAACTACTGCGTATCGTTTCCCCTCATGGATCCATGTGTTGCTGTTGCTGGGGTCATCCCCTTCAGAGCTATCCGAGGGTGAATCGTAGGTTGCGCCGTCGAGGTCCGCGCCGTCGAGGTCCGCACAGCAACCTTGCAGTCGACGCGGTCGTCGAGTTTTTTCCTGTTGGATGTTACTGGAAAGCGGGCTTGATGGGACGTAGCTTGAATCAGGTGGTGTTCGGCTCCCCTCCTCGGCCGGCAATTTCGCCAAGATGTACTCTACATCAAACAGCCCACGTGTGAAGAGCGAAAATTGCACAACTGCACAAGACCGCCACTCTTGGTCTCTTTTCTCTGCTTCATGACCCAAGGCCATGAAGTATACCGTGTGAACTGATGCTATTGCGGTGCTAGAACGGGGGATATGATTGCCATCCTGAGCTTCAGCATTTCGAATAGGTTCAGCAAGGTGGTAATATAGTGTAGTCGGATCATCTTCCTTGATACGAAGGAAAATAAAAGCCTGACCAGTCGTCAAATACCCGTTCTCGACCCCTTCCTTGATCATGTAGTCAAATATTTGTGTGATGGCAGCACCACTGATCTGCTTGGTGTCGTATATGAGTTTCTCCTCCTGGTCACTGGGGATTTCGTGAGCCTGCACAACCTCTTCCCAGAAGTTTGAGGGTTGTAGCCCGACTCGTAGATTTGCAGGCCGAAGTTTATGGCCAGCTTTGTTTTCGACCACGAAGAGTAGTGTCTCAAGCTCTTCGTTTGTTCGAAACACACATAATTGATCGGAACGGGGCCTCCAGGCCTTATGCTTCTACTGCACCGATTCCGATTCATCCTTGAAGGTGTTGGTATGGTTCTCAAACGATATGCCCGATCTCAGAAATGGGAGGTGAGTGCAGGTATTCAAGCTTCAGCAAAATTGTCGCACTATAGATATGAAATGCTCTTCGACAGCGTAACGTTCGTAGCTCATGAGATCGAGCTCACTGCCTAGTGATTGGCGGGAGACAAGGTCACCGACTGTTTTCACCCCTTCGAGGGATATGAATATTTCTGGCGGGGGTCCTTAGGTCGGATGAAAGAGAGAGGATACACGGTTGTTGAAGAGCTCATCGTGCTGAAGGGAAAAGTCCTTCCATTAGCGAAGTGTAGTGGGACAGCAGCGACCGGTTAGGGATGGGATTGAATCCTTTGTAGCTTTCTTGTTCCGCTGAATACTGAACGGTACGTTGACATATTCGTGGCACAACTGGAGAAAGGCCTCGGAAGGCCATCAGGTCAGTCCTGCTTTTGAGCTCTTGAACTCTGCCCTCTGATTGTTCGGCTCTCCTCTCCGCCTGTTCTATTCTGTTCTCTGCTTCTTTCAGCGGCCTCTAAAATTCCTGTTTCTAGGGACGTTGTGGGCTAAAATGCCTCAGGGTATCATGACCTGGAAGGGATCCTCTGCTTATCCACTGGGTTGCTTGGGGTCAAAAGCATTATTGACAGGATTCATATAAACTCCCCCCACCCTCAGCTGAGCTGAGCTGAGCTGAAAGTTGGTTGCAGCCTTGGAAAATTCTGTCTGACAAAACCGCTTATTTATTTTGTTAATGGGGCAAACTGAAATTTCCCAGCCTCAGAAATCAACATCAAAATTTTAAATATCAAAAAGGCCATGTATTCCACAACACCATAGTAATCCTTTTATATAGAATTCATCAAAAAGCATTATTATTCGAATGTTTTCACAATATTTGAATAGGTTTAAACGTTCTTATCTCTATATATTTAAATTCAATATAAACATATACCTGCTGATTCTCGTTAGTTAAAAACAGATAATATTTAAAATAATACGTCTACTATTTACCGTCAAGTTTTTAAATCATCTCAAGATGAACACTCCGTAGTTATATCAAACAATAATTGATGAATATAATAGAGTTTGTACATAACTATCTCCATCAACCGAGAGGTATCAGAAATAGCACATTCCTATTAAAAAAGCAGGTTATTTGCAATTCTTGTCGCTGTGCATCCTCACTTTCAAACCCGCAGCCCAAAAATAAAATGTATTTCACATATTGACAGATTCCAGCAATTTAATTAAATTCCCAGCACTTCTCTGCCAAAGCCGGGAGTGAGTAACGAGATCTCCTTGCCCATCCGACACAGTGCCTCTGTCCGCGGCCCAAGTAAGTCACGTCTCAAATGAAGCTCAAGTCGCATACGCATACTGCCAATTCATTATTCGCTTTTTTAAATCGTGCAGCTACATGTTCACAGAAACCCACAATCAATCCGCGACATGACCAGGGAACTTGGCGGTGGATCGAGACACCGTAATATGAGCTCGAGAATAAAGCTCACAGCGCGGAACACAGACTGGTCCGTGATTAAATATTTAGGTCGCAACGGCCACCTAAAATATTTGCTACACAACTCAAGTTCAAGCACTTGGCTATCTAGTGCTGGGTCTGGCTATCCAAGGCGGTGGTGCACAATTTGACAAGCTATATCAAAAGCGTGTAAGTAAAATAGAAAGAATATCTAATTAGAGAAATGAAAGCGCACATACGTGGGTAGTGTAACCTTTATCTTTTCCCGCCTGCTGAAAGAGTGCCCGTTGATCATCCAACTGGTTGATGTCGCAGTATATCATCTCTCTCAATTTCTTGGCCTTTTTGAGCCCTTTCAGGAATTCTTCTGCGTCTGGTCGTCACCAACACGAGATATAAGGAAGACGGCGCTGGCTGGGCTGAAGTGATGTTGATCCAAAATCTGCTTACATTTCAGGACTTCTTGCAAACACTTCTCGGGTTCGATGGTTGGCTAATGTTAACATTGGAATTTTCCATGACAGTCAGTAAGTCTCCCCATCCATGTCGAACATGAGAATTGGATATGTCAAAGAAAGTGTCCGCATACACATCCATCAGTGATGATTATTGCAAGTAGCGGTTTCGTATACTTTCTAGCCTTTATCTTGTCGACAATCAACGGTTTGATGATTTTGGATTGCAACATTGTCCCCAGTTGAGTCATTCCAGTATACTGAACACCATGTACCTTCTTCCTGATGTCGTTTTTATCCACCGACCCATCAAATTTGTCGTCGTTGTTTATAAAACGCAGAGATATTCCTTGAGGTTGGAGAAAGGTTGCGATATCGGCAACTCGTTGGCAAGTATCTTCCAGCACCGCAACACGATTTCCGGTTTGCATTGAACCACTATCGTCTGATCAAAACAATCAGAATATTTTTTTTTTAACAACCTATGGAACAGAAAAAAATAAGTTAACAGTACCACAAAATATCACAAAGTCATATAATGCCAGCGTCACCACTTTTGGTGTTAGCTTGGGTTCCAAGTCGAGCTCCGCTGTGAGCTGTTTCGCCCGAGCAGCCGCCTCCCGAACAGGATCTTCTACGAATGGATTTCCTGGTTGGTAGAAAGATGACAGATTTTTCTCAATGAAAGTCCAGATGTATTCGGAGTATTCTTTTTCAGACTCCGGAGGTTGATTATCAGGAGGGGCCAGGCGGGAGCTTTGATGGCTAAATTCCTTGAAAAATTGGTCAATGACACTATTCACAAGCTTTTTCAGAAAATCCTCCTCTTCCTTCTTATATCCTCTTCTTGAGCCCATTCTTGGGTGATGAAGAGAATTTCGAGAGCTAGAGAGATGCAAGATCGTTATCGCTGCTTTGATAGAGACGCTATGGTGGCATCGAACCGGCAAATGTTGATATTTATAAGAGCCATTTAGGTCTGTTCAATTGAGAGCGAAACATTCAATAACTTATCTATCATTCTAAATATTCCTTTTGTCGTTACCACCCGTGGATCGGGGCGATGTGACTGATGAGACCATCGTGGACTGACAACCTCGACGTCTCAATATTGTTCGGTTTGCTTTGCCCAGAACAGGCAACGAGGCTTTGCACAGCCAAATCCTCCGCTTCTTATGATATGCACCGTGTTGTTCTTGTAATGAAAATTTAAACTTGAGAGTGTGGGGTAGTTATATAGTTAGTTGTTTTAAAGCCGACGGAGCTATTTTGTCTGCCTTGCTCCGTACCACGTTATTTTATTGATCAACAAACTTGGAACCTTGACAGCCAAGAATATCTTCCCGCTCGTAATCGGACATTAAGTTACCTCTAGTATGGACATGATGCCAATAGATCTTGGTCGCATCCTGTCAGCAAGAGGACGGCAAGCATACAAAGAAAGAGGTTTCGATTGGACGATGACAAAATGCCTTCCCAACTGTTTGCCCCCTGGCTCGAGGCGCCGTTTTTTCGGGGCTTCCTGTGACGAACCTGTCTTCTCCAAAACCAAACCAAAGAAGGGTATCTGAGTGACGAATAGCAGATACCTATTGGAGTAGTGCTTGAAGGTTGCTTGCATTACATTGGGATCGGACCTGTCTTTGTTGGGTAGCTTTCTTGACTCTGCGAGAGACGACAGGTTCTCCTCAGCCTCCTGGACACCATTCATCACCACTCATTCAGTGTATAAATAAAGCCAATTTTCTTCTTGCAATAGGTACATATCAATTCTATCTGAATCTTCATCACTCGAATTTCCTTTTCTCTTTTTCATTTAGTTCTTTTCTTTTTGGAATAAACTTCTCAAATTTATATTCCGGTCGAAAGTATGTCTGGGCGTGCAATAATCAAGGAGGAGAAAGGGTGGTAACTGTTGGGGAGGGAGTAAACGAGGGTTTGAACAAAGCTTCGGATAGCTTCTTTACGGTTCTTAAAAATTCCCAAACCGACGGCGACCTCCGGGAACTTCTGGAGAGTCATCTGCTCCAAATCGTGGGAGACCGTTTGTCAAATCTCAACACACTAAACAAGAAACACAAAGACGCCATCGTCGCCGGAATTACTTATCGAATGCTCGTCCATATGGTTGTCACATTCCCGAAGGAACTGTTAAAAGACATCGATTGGTAAACCTGAGATACACCAGACAAAACAAAACGAGTTTCCCTTCTAGTCCATGTAAGTTAATCCACATCTCCCTAGACAGGCATATGACAAATGTTGACCCACAAATCGTAAAGTAAGTAACTTTCCCACCTGTTTGCGAGTGCATCAAGTGGTGGACGGGAGAGCCGCAGTGGAGCATTCAGCATGGCGGAGATATTCTGTCGAGACATCAGGAGAACTCTGTACTGAGTACCACATTATTATGTCTAACTAGCCTTTCCAATGGTTGGTTCGAATGTCCCAAGGCTTACTGGCGGGATGGCCATGCATCATCTGACCATTGAAAGCGAGAGTAAACGCGGATCAAGCGAGATTCTTCGAATTTGAACTCGAGTTCTCCCTTGAAAAGTACAATTCTTCTGATCATAGATGCGATGAATCTGACAAGTGCAATCGTGATTACGGTAGCCTCCTCCACATCGTAATAAACGGTCCCGCAACTTCCATTAAGGGCGATTAGCTAGGCTATTTAGCAGTCTAAAGGAACAGAGATTGCTACCTTCAAGGATTCCTGAGGTTTTCAACCTAATCATGCATGAGAAGCTGACTGCGCCTTGATGCCCAAGCGCAATGTAAGTATGTAAGGCTGTTTCGACTTACCTTCATCTAAAAATATGTGCCTTCATTCCGGAGGAACGAACTCTAGCATTACCATACTTGAGCAGAACCTGAGACACCATGAAGGAGGGCCATAAAAGTCCATCCTAGTCGCTGTTATGGAGTTAACTGAGGAGCCTACCGTTTCACTACAATGGGCCCACTACAAAGTGCGTTGGGTCTGTGCCTTACCCCTCGAGAAGGCTGTAGCAATTGCCTCTCTCGATGAGCGTCATGACCCACCATATGATCTATCAGGAAACATATCGGGTGACAGAAACAGTTACTCCTTTGGCAGAGTTGGTCGCCACAACATTGTCATCACGGTGTTGCCCGCCGGGAAATATGGGACGAATTCCGCCGCTTCCGTTACCACCAATCTGTCGAACAGTTTCCCTGCCTTCGCTTCGGATTGATGGTGGTAATTGAGGAGGAGCCCCGAATACAACTCATGACATCCGTCTTGGAGATGTTGTAGTCAGCAAACCGGGCCCAGGCCATCCGGGTGTTATGCAGTATGATTTCGGGAAAATTGGCCCCAATAAAGTGACATTGATGGCAGTTCTAAATCAACCTCCGACGAAAGTCTTGACAGCCATATCAACAATGGAAGCATATGAGATGGTCGGCGAAGGAGGTATATCAGATCTTGTCAACGAAATAGTAGAGAAAAATCTGGGGAGATTCACGAACCCCGGGACGAATCATGACTTCCTATATCAAGCTGAATATCCTCACGTAGGGGGTGATTCATGCGATGCGTGCGATCGAAGTATGGCTAAAACCAGAACACCAAGGACAAATGCTGAACCAGTCATTCATTATGGCTTAATTGCGTCTGGAAACTCGGTTATTAAGGATGCAAAGACCAGGGATCGTTTGGCGAAGGCGCACGGCATTTTGTGTTATGAGATGGAGGCAGCAGGCATAATGGTGAGTAGATAGAAAGTGAATCCAAAACTGAGGCTGAGGAAGCTAAAATCCATACTCTGTAGCATATTCTTCGCTGCCTCGTTATACGTGGGATCTGCGATTATTCCGAATCACATAAGAATAAACGCTGGCAAGGTTATGCGGCTGCCACGGCGGCGGTATATGCCAAAAGTCTCCTCCTCTCCATGGGCTCAACGATTTACAGGCGTAAGAGCCCCTTGTTTTTGCAGATTGAAGCCTACAACCCACAGACGAGTAGTGAGGCCACTGCTGGTGCTGACCAAAGACTATGTGTTTTCAGGAACAACCGCAGCTGCGAGCACCCCTCCACCAAGCGCCAGCCCCACTACCTTGACATATTCTCCAGGACCGATATTTCCATCTTCACCTCCATCTAGTCGAACCCGGTCGATACAATCACCCAGGCCTAGACCTCTCTCCACGCCTCCGACCAGCCCTGCACTAAACCCCTTATTCGGAAAATCCGAGACGAGATATACCTGGCAGCGACAACCACGTCGGAGACTGAACACTCTCAATCGACAGGTTGATGATGCGGAGGAGGTCCTTGACGCAGCCAAGAGCGGCAACATATCCCGAGTCCGGGAGTTTGTTGAGAATGGAGGAGATCCAAACACGTCTGACACAGCGTTCAATACGACTCTCTTGCATTATATGGCTCAGCAAGGCAACGAGGACATGACACGGTTCCTGCTAGAGTCTGGAGCCAATCCCAATGCTGCTGCCAAGTTCTCAACTAATACTCCTCTGATTGAAGCGGCTCGCAATGGTTACCCAGACGTAGTCCAGCGCTTACTGCGGCATGGCGCCGATATCGAAACCTGTGGGGAGTTCAAAAGAACTACATTGCATATTGCAGCAGATGAAGGGCAGTTTGCATGTGTAACTGTTCTCGTTGACAGTGGTGCTGACCCACAGGTTAGTGATGAGAATGGAGATACACCGCTGGTACTAGCAGAGGAGGGAAATTGGAATAAAGTCGCAAGTTATTTGCGCCAATTGTAGCATCTCTCAGGCGAGTCCATATTGTAACAGCTCATGTCCCTTGAAGGGGATTAAATCGTTGCGCTCCACGAACGACAATCTGTCCCTGCATGAGTTCAATCAAACCATGAATTAAAAAATTCCACTTCAAAAATAAAGTCACAACCAAGAAATTCATGCGCATAACCCTCAACTCATCCTTCCACTGTGCCTAGATGATGTTCAGACTTTCTAGTTGGGTGGCCAGTGGGCACACGGGTGCTCAGAATCAATCAAGAAATATGTGTACACTTTCATTCTCAAGACAGAATTCTGGAATCTACGCAGTTAAAAGAACGTGGTTGCTGGCTTCGTCTCGCAAATGTCTCTCGCGTAAGACAAGCGCGCGGCTATAATTATAAGAACGCCAATTAACGCGGTTCGACAATTATCCGGTAGCCGATGCTTTCCGACCCTCTTAAGAAACTAATAAACTCAAGACATGTTTATCAGCAATATCTGGGGCGCTCAACAGACAGAGGAAGCTGCTTTGTTCAAATATACAAAATACTATTCCGTAACTACGCAGATCTTTCTTTGCGGTCACTGCTTGTTAGGAATGTTATGACTCTATCAATCGCCTACAGTTGCGCAATGGAACGAACCACTTCTAAATATCCCCGGACCATTGGATACCCATGATATCTCACTTTCTCCTCAGTCAACTTCCTTAGCCGTGAAAATATGAAATGAGAGGGCGTATTTTAATCACCCCATCGCGAATTGTTTTCTATATACATCCAAGAATCCTAGATTTACCCAATTTCAACTGTTTCCTCCTTGCAATCTCAGACCGGCAAGAGATTGCAATCGCTAAAGAGAAACTCATGCCTGACAACCAGGTACGTTGTATTTTGGAAACGGACCGAAACCGCCGGATGTCGCTTAATTATGCATTAAGAATATCCTCTTGAGTCCCTGAGTCGTTCCTCCGGAAAGATTTCATACTTTTCTTTGCCCTCAAATTTGCCCGGTAGACATGTTTTTTCAAACCAGCCCCGCCAACGCAGTTAACCAACCATGAGGTTGAATCACTTGGCATGGAGTGAGTGAGCTTGCCCAGTGTAGTTCCAGAGAGCAGGGAAAGCGAAAAAAAAAAAAAAAAAAAAAAAAAAAAAAAAAAAAAAAAAAGAGAGAGAGAGAGAGAGAGCCTGAGGAATCTATCTCCGTATGATATCTTCCCAATCACTAGCATTGATCTCTTAGCGAATTTCTAACTAAGACCTGGTCGGCAAGAACTGATATGCGTCTCTTTTCCGGAGCCATTCAATCTCACATTCCAGGCATTCGGACTACCTTTCTGGTAAAAGCAACTTACATTATTGAATGGCATCGGAAGGCGTTATTGTATATGGAGGAGATTTTGTCCCAACTGCCTGATAGGATTCTTGGGAGACATAATACTGTATCCCTGACCTGATCCTGAGCGAAGGAAAAACATCTTGGGACAAAAACTCGTCTTCTGCTTCTGCTCCTTTCGGCATTGTCAATTAGTTGATACCTTAGGGTAGATACCTTAGGGTAGATATATCTTGGGAGACATACTGATATAAAGCCGCGAGATACTTGAACTTGAAACCGTGGGGAAATAATACGTTCCAGCAAACCCGGTGACGACGAACTGAGCTCTGATGATCTGTTTAGGGCCGGCTTAATGGCGCCATTCCATGCGGCTTTTTAGTATATTACTAGTTAAATAGTTAGGGATTTCCAGGCCACCTCCAGGCCACCAAAATGTTGCACACTTTTCTGGTATTATTCACTCTCATGTGGCGGAATTGTTGTAATAACACGATAATTACGGAGCATTATTATTAGTTGTGTTATGGAGGTGTGGATCTTTTTATTAAGTTCCTGTTACCCCTTTGGTGTAACTAGTACGTTTGGCTGTATCCGTTTGTATCATTCTTCCCTAGTAATTTATATGTAGGATAATTAGAAGAATATTAATTTATTTGACAATTTGAAGCTGCTATAACTACTGAATATGATAATTGAAGCTACTATTCTTAAGATCTTTTCATCTGAATAGCTTATGTCAAGGCTTCAATCTAGGCGCAGGTGAAACAGGTGTTAGATTGCCAGCTAGGTAAGCTTATCTGAGCGAATACTAAGATGATTCCGAAGAGATGGGTTCGGAGAAGGCTCTGTTTATATAGCCCTTTTCCTTAGCGCCGTTTGCTAGGCGGTTCCCACGTTTTACGTGTTATTCGTATGCGGGGTAATTGTGGGTTGGTTGCTATGCCAATGCCTAGGCAGTTGTGATTACCGATCGCCGCGGCCAGTGGCCTTAAGCTGTCGAGGAGGCTGGACGGAGCCCGTTTTACGCCATCACACAGTTTTCTATGTATGCAATTCAGCTTTCTTCAGTTGAAAAGTGATCAGCATTGACAGTTAGCTTGCGTCTCATCTGTGAGAGTCAGTTTTCAAATATCAGTTCTTTTCCATTGATGAGGTGCTTCAAGTCATCAAGCTTAACTGATTGTTGCATTCATTGAATGTTCATCAATCTGATTTGTGAGACTAAAGAATTCACTGTCTGCTGTAAGACATTTCATTTCTTATCAAGCTGTTCACTTGCTAGTCAAGTTCACTCACTTGCTTTCTCTGATCATCTTGTTCTGTTCTAATTTGATCTAGAGTTTCTCTTACTTTGTGCATGAGATCAGTAATCTCTTGATATACCTGCTTCAGATTCTCTTCAATTATCTTCAAAAATGTTTTCTTTGATAAAAGTCTGTTTGACCTCATGTTTCTCTCTGTCAGAGTCATCATATCTTAGTCAGATTTTTATGAACTGTCAAATTCTCTAACTGCTGCTGATATTTTAATAATATTCTCAGAGATTCAAAATAAAAGTAAATAAAAATTCTCAAAGATTTTTCATCTAAACAATCTACTTTAAAAAGAGCAAGAAAAGTTATTGATCTTAGCATTATATCAAGACTTCAATCTAAATACAAGTGAAACAGATGTTTGATTGTCAGCTAAATAAGTTATTTAAATAGAATACTAAGATAATTTTTAAAAATAAATTTAGAAAAAACTCTATTTATATAACTTTTTTTCTTAGTACTGTTTTATATATTTATATATTATTTGTATATGAGATAATTGTGATATCAAGACTTTTTATACTAGCTTCTTGTCCTCACACTGCTTATCATACTACTTATCAAAGCACTTTAGAATCAGATTCTCTAGATTCTCACACTCACTTATTAAAGCACTTATCTTCATACTACTTATCAAAGCACTTTAGAATCAGCATCTTCTAGAGAATCAGCATCATTTTAAAATTCAGCATTTAGAATTAGTACAAATCAGCACTTCTCAAAAATCAGTTCTTTCACATCAGCACTTCTTAGAGAATAGAATTAGTATTTTATGAAAATTCAAATCACTGTATTGTTAATTCTCTATTTTATGAATAATTAGAAATAAAATCTATTATTACTCATTCATGTATATAAACACTTTGAATTTTCAAAGTTCCTTTGAGAGATTCAATAATTAGCTACTATTCAATTCTACATATACATTTCATCTATTGCTATTCTCTTTTCTTCATAGCACTTTCAGTGCTTATATATCTACCCTATTATAACTTTAGTTATAGAGCTTCTCACATTTTCTTTTGACACTTAGTTTATTTATTTTAGTGTCCTCACAGTTTCTAACCACTCTAATAAAGATTGCCTGTTAAGTCTATAACAATGAGTTTAAAATGTAATCTATGAGCTGACACCTCACATGCAATATTCAATAAAGAAGTATATATAGAAGAAACTTCTTATGAATAATCATCAAGTCTTACTTTAGAAAGAAACACTGAAGCACTTCTTACATTAGTTGATGAAGAGATTCAGGTAGTTCAACAAGAGCAAGGATAGTAAGAGATATACAAAAAAATTCTCAAACTACAACAAGTCAACATACTTAGTACAGAACTTCAAATCTCTAAGAGCAAGCAGCATAGAGCAGAGTTAACAGATCACACTATTAGTGTCAATTTCACTTCTTTCAAGCCTCATCCTGCACTAATTCAAAAACTCTCAAATGAGTTTAAGATAAAAAGTCTCAAGGAACTAGAAGATTTTATCTCCTCAAGCTTTGTCTTTTATGTCTATCAAAGACATTACTTTGAGGATGATGATGAATACAAGATTCTTGAAGTAGTAACATATTTTAATGTTAAACTGCAATAGAAATAGCAATAATACTACATCACACTGAAGATATCAATTATCTGGAATTAATTCTATAACTAGATTTATGCTAAGATCATCAACTTAGATAAGATAAGCCAGGACTATGAATTGAAGTATCAGGCATTGAGATAATCTGAAAATCAAATTATTCATGACTTTGTGTCTACTCTTCAGTCAATTGAGAATTATCTCCTTGAGAAATATAGTAATTATCAGTGAAAGACATATCTATTTGACAAGATTCTATCCTCTCTTCATGCAGAATTTGAGAGATATGCAGTCAAGCTGCAAGATCTCTTTTATGATACTTTCATCATAAAATTGATCATTATGAAGAGTAACATTTCAAAGACTATCATATCAGTAAGCATAATTACACAACAAAAGAGCATTACTTGCAGAAAAGATTCACATGATGATATATTAACAGCACTTAGAAAGAAAAGCTAAAAACACAAAAAGTGTTCTGACATCTGATGTGATGTTTACTGAAGCTTCATACACTTCAATGCAGACTGCAAGACTCAAAAAAACAGGTATGTTAAAGATAAATCCTCAACTTCAAAGTCTTCATCAAAACTTTCTTTTAAATCAAATTCAAAAGAGGCAAAAAATGAATAAGAAGTGTCATTCATGCTGCAATAACAACTCTCAATATATTTAAAAGTCAGTAATCACTAAGTCTATTCTTTCTTCTTTCTATTCAAATTCCAACACTCATAGAAGATATATCAATTCTTGCTATTATAGATTTTGAAGCTTAAGTAAGTT